TGGGACTGGCTCACCTTCTCTGCCCTAGGAGCCTGGGATGGCAGCAGGGGAGCTTCCTTCTGGGTGCTGGGGCCAGCTGAGCTTCTCTGCCCTAGGAGCCTGGGATGGAGGCAGGGAGCTTCCTTCCGGGTGCTGGGACCAGCTGAGCTTCTCTGCCCTAGGAGCCTGGGATGGAGGCAGGGAGCTTCCTTCCGGGTGCTGGGACCAGCTCACCTTCTCTGCTCTAGGAGCCTGGGATGGTGGTGGGGGAGCTTCCTTCCAGGTTCTGGGACTGGCTGAGCTTCTATGCCCCTGAACTATGTCTCTTTAAGGCCAAGTGCCACACTGTCAGCCATTAGCAAGACATTCAGGTGACTCAAAGCCCTTGGCATCTTGGGGCTTCCCAGTGGCCTGACTCCCGACTGTTAATGACTCCCCCCTTGAAATTGCACTTGGAGGTCCTGCCCATTCTCGACAATCCCCTAACACAGTCGGCCTGTGACAAACCCGCTGGCTGTGATGAGCTTGTGGAAGTGGCCGCAGCCCCTCCTGCTGGGCCTCTAATTAACCAGCAGAAGCATCTGTGGTCAGCACAGTACCAAGGATAAAGAGATGTGTGCGGTGGGCTTCTCTGAGAGAGCCCTGCCACTGCCCTGTGCCCCAGGGGCCAGGCCCACATTCCCAGGGCTCTGGGATATCCACTTTTGGGGAGGTGACACCCAGCTGGCCTCAGCCTGGGGGCACCTGGCTGAGTGCTGAATTCTCCCAGGGGCAAAGAGATGAACCCCTCCAGTGCACCCACTTCTGCCCAGTCCCAGACTTTTCATTATAAAGCACTTGTGGAGCCAGATGTGGTGGTGCACACCTGTGCACTGTGGAAGGCTGAGACAGAAGGATTGCAAGTTCAAGCCCAGCTTATGTGACCCTGTCTCACAGTAAAAAAGGGCCAGGAAGATAGCTCAGTGGAGTAGCCCTGGATTCGATCCTCAGTACAAGAAAAGGGGGCATAGATGACCCAAGGTCTGGCCCCTCCTGCTGCCCCCCTTCTGTCCTCAATCAGCACCTCTCTCCTGCTCATGGCTCACAGCTGGGGATGCAGCTGAGCATTTGGGAAGCCCCTGCAGCGACTTGGCATCATTTTCATGCACTCCTTTCAGACTTTCATATTGTTCATAGGGAGACAGCAGATAGAAATAAAAGCAAGAGGGAAACACTTTCTTCTGTGAAGACACACATAGCATCTTGGGATGTTTTCCCAGCAATAAAGTGGTTTGGGCTCATGCTCTTCTTTCTCTCCTTTCACTAATGGAAGCCAATAAAAACCTGGGATTAGTATAAACAGAACTCTTTCATTAAGTACTGTCTGCCAGACTTGGAGCTCAGTGCTTCAGAATATCATGTCTAATTCCTAAGACCTCACTGTGAAGCAATCTTTAACCCCAGTTTGCCCATGAGAAATCCAAGGGCCAGAGGGCTTAGGGACTTTCCCAAAGGCACACAGATGGGAAATGTCCTGGCACCGAGCCCGGCTGGCCCCTTCTAGCCCACAGCACCAGCAGACGGCCTGGACCTGCAGAAGAATATGTGACTGTGACCACTCTGTTCCCTTACCCATCATGGCAGATAAACACAGGGCCGGGTCAGTACTGCCAAACCCACTGTAAAGATGCAAGCCTCTCTGGCAGCTGGCACTTGATGCTAATGTTGACTCCAGTACCAGTACTCTCTTCACTTCGCTGGCCTGGGACCCTATGGGTAGACTTCCTACCCTGTCTCCTTATCCTTACGGCTAATGTTGGACAGTGGGTAACTCGTAGCAAGAGACAGGCCTGACACTCCCAGCTGTAAGCTCTGGGCTTGGTCCCAGCCCATCTGCTCACCTGCACCTGTGTGACCTTCGCCAGCTCCCACCCCCAGGCCACACTGCCATTTAGATGCTCCTGTGAAGCACCAGGGACATGTGTAATGCAAAGCTGCAAATAAGAGGAGGTGTAAAAATGGTGACCAGCATCATGTTTGTCCCGAAATATTCCACACAGAAAATAGTATAATGCAGTTTCTCCTAAAATAGTGTGAAGTCGACACAGGAGATTCCAGGTGACGTGTTTGGGTGGACAAGACTGGCGCAGCCCGGACAGGATTGGAACCTCCTCTGTGTGCAGCTGCTAAGAGCCAGGGCCGGGAATACCATTCATAGATGCTCTTTGGGTCTGTGAGAGGTGTGTGTGCGTGTTTGGGGTCTGTGTGTGTGTGTGTGTGCGCACATGCATGAGACTGGGCTGTGTATGTTGTGTGTGCATATGATCTTCCCCTTCAATGGCCTATGATCGTGGTCAGTAATATGGAGACGCTGCTTGGGAATTCACTACTCAGGCTGAACAGATAGTAATGTGCTTCCGTATTTGCTTCGGACTTCATTCCGAGGAGCAGGATGCCATGGAGGGAATGAGCCCGGCCCCTTGCATCCAGTTCCCTGCCTCAGCTCCCTCCTCCCCTGTGGGACTGGTGGACTGGAGGGGACAGATGTGTCTTTGTCCAGTCATTCCATGCCTGGGTATGGGCAGAGCTCGGCCAGCCCATCGGCAGGACAGCCGTCCTCGAAGGAGGGACCCTCCTGGGCAGGCATGCTGCCCCTTGACTTCTAATCCCGTGTGCTTGAAATGTTTAGACAGGCAGCTTAAACATGTCAAGGGTGCTGATAAACAGGGCCACAGTTTACACAAGAGCCCAGACAAATGTAAACACAGTTCACAGGCCTCTCCAGGGGCCTGGAGTCCAGGCAGCTCTACCCGGAGCTGCATCCCTCACATTTTGTGGTCCCTTGTCTGCACAATCAAGAAATCTGAGTTCTGGAGCAAGGAGATCATCTGCCCTGGACCCCACAGGGTGGATAGCAGCAAGGCCAGCATAAGGAAGGAGGAGGAAAGGGGGAAGAAGAGCAAGAGAAGAGACACAGAGCGAGCCACTCCCCTCTGGGCACGCACCCCTCGGCCACGTGCCTTCCCTGACTGACCCGCGTGAAACACCCCAGCCCAGCCTCTCCCTGCCTCTCCCCCAGCCTCAGTGTTCTCCCAGAACAGTCCTGGTGGGCTGTGTGTTCAGCTGCCCATTCCCACTCTGCCCAGTGGCCCACACGCCCAGGAGAAGAGTCGGAGCTAGACCAGGGCGGTTGTGCGCCTTTCCCAGCCTGGCAGTCAGCCTAAAGGGAGCGCTCCACGCACAACAGTATGTTCTGTACATTGTGAATGACCAAGTCAGTCAACGGAGCTGAACTGAGCTGGGCCCATAGACACAGAGCGGCCCAGGGAAAGCCGGTGAGACCAGGTAAGGCTGCTACTGAGTGGCAGTGACGGCCCACTAGGTGATTCGTGTGGATGTTTCTTCCTGGCCTTCCTGTGACCATCTATGAAAGATGCCTTTGTTTCCCCATGGGCACCAGAAGGCACAGAGGGGCACAGCCATTGTGTCCAAGGTCACACAGCAGGAAGAAGGCAGAGCAGGTGTTCAAATCCAGGCAGTCTCATTCCAGCACCCAGGAGCTGTATGCCATGTTCTATCGCTTCCCAGCGAGAAAATTCTAGGATGAACCTAGACTTGAACTTTTCATGTTTTTGTGTTTTTAGAGATTTGAGGAAAGTCAAGGCCGGACTGAGAGCAAAACAGCCTTTTACCAGGCGCTGCAGAACTCGCTGGGAGGTGAGGACTCGGATGCCAGCGTCCTGGCTGCAGCCACGTGGTACTACTCCCTGGAGCACTCTGCAGATGACTACGCCTCCTTCTCCCGCGCGCTGGAGAACGCCACCCGGTGAGCCAGGCCGGGGCACGGACCAGATGGTGCTTGCTGCTGAAAGCCTGAGGCAGCTACGCACCCACAAGGCCTACAGCTGAATCCACTGTGGCCGGAGTCCACCCTGCCCGTGGGAATCAGGGGAACTGTTCAGGAGGTCCTGTGCCCAATGTCACAGCCCAAGGAGGAGGAGCCTGTGGCTCCACTGGCCATTAGGCCCTTCCATCGTGGGGGGCCATTTCTTGTACCCGCTGCCATATGGTCACCTCGTCCTCTTCATTGCTTAGGTTTCTCACTTGAGAGCCTGCCCTGGCCTCACCCTGTGAGAGTTAGGGGCTGCCCCGGAGCCCAGTCTCTGCTGCCCCTGGACACACCCTGCCCAGTGCTGCTTGCATCAGGGCTGGCCTGTCTCCCTCTCCCAGTGCACCAGGAGCTGGTGGAGGTGGGAACTGCGGGTTCGGGGCACGCACAGCAAATGCGCAAGGCCCCAGTTTCAAAAACAGAGAAGTAAGCAGGCTGTAGCCCTCTCTTCCTTCTTCCTGAGGCCTTGAGGAAGAGACCTAAGTGGAGATTCAGCTCTCCTCACTGCAGTCCCTGAAGTGCACTCAGCTCCCTTTCAGGACTCACCTCCAAGTGGAAGGGAGGGGTCTGTGGGGTCAGGGTCCCGCGGTCCTTCCGCTCTCGTCTCGGGCCACAGGGTCACAGCTCAGATCTCCGGAGCCCTCGCTGACCAGGCTCTGCTGGGCAGGGTGAGCTGGAAGACAGTAGAGGCCGCTGCCGCACCCTGCCCGAGAGGCTGATTCCAATCTGAGGGTCACCAGCTCAGAATAAAACTCCACGTCTCCCACATGGTTCTTGGGGCCCAGAGAGGCTTTGATTTTCCCTCCAATCGAGAGCTAGGTCTGAACCAAGCAGTCAGCAGCTATTTCTGGAGGCCCAGCCCTGGGCTGGACCATGAGAGCTCACAGATGCCGGGTCGCTGAGCTGGAGAGGCTGCCCACCACGTCCAGACTGGCCCTGATCTGGCTGTGGGAAGAGCTTAGGGCCCGAGCTCAGCAAACCAAGCTGTTGCTTCATTGGTGCCTTTGGATTTAAAGACAACCTGTGCCCTGGGGTAAGAGCTGAGGCCCGAAGAAGGCAGCATGATCCAGGGAGGTGTCACTGAGGAGGCTCAGGCCCTTGTTCTGTCCTGGCTGGACTTGGGCAGCCACCTCCTGCGGGCCTCCCTGCCTCCAGTTCCCTGGCACTAGACCTCTCCTGGGCACCATGGCCTCTGCCTACAGGTCTGATACCATCCTGTCCCACTCACCAGCAAAGCACAGCTGCTGTCACCCGCCTTACAGACCCCGATACTAGCTGCCACCTTGGAATCTCACTGAGACATTCCCATTACTCTAAGGCTTACCAGTTGTTGCCATCTCTGCAACCAGGAAAGGAGGGAACCCTCCTTTTACTGAGGGGCTTGCAAAGTCTCTGCTGCACTCTAGGGCCCCGGCCCCGTTTCTCAGCTGGGAAGATGGAGATCAAAGAGCTGAAGGGAGTGCTGAGTATCTGCCCTCACCCAGCAGGGCTCATGGGATTCAGTCGAGGGTCACAGTCAGCTGGAACCTGTCTGCTCCTCACCAGGCTTCCTGTCTCAAGGCACACAGCCCCTGCCTTCCCCCTGGGATCCACTGCTGGAAGCTGCCACTTCCAGGATTCATTCACATGCCCCCAGGAGGAGCTAAGGTGGGGCCTGGGTCATCTAAGGCCAACTCCTCCGGCCCATCACTTTGAACTAGGTCATTCTGGGTTTGGGGACTTTCCTGTGCTGTGTAGGATGTGGAGCAGCATCCTGGCCTCTACCCACTAGATGCCAGTAGAAACTTTCCACCCGCTGTCGTAACAACCAAAAAAACATCTCCAGGAATTGCAAATTCACTTCTAGTTGAGGGCTGCAGGTTTAAAGGTATTACATGCGTAAAATATCTTGGAGGACTTTGTCTTCTTTTAAAATATAGTTATTTTACGTCTTGCTCCTCAATATATTTACTATGTTGCTATACCAGGGTGTGGTCCCAAATCTTTATGTAAAATTGACAATCTAGGAAGAGCTTTATACCATGGCTTCCTTGGCCTCTGAGATGCATCACCATGGGTGCCAGGTTTGGGTCACCGTCCACCATAACCAGAGCAGACCATGAGCTGTGCCTCAGCTCTTCCACCAGGGCGGCAGCAGAGCCACTCTGAAAGGGGCTGGAAGTGGAGAATAGCATCCTCCTCAGGCAGGAGCAGAGGAGCTTAGGGGATGATGGGACCTTGGGGGCCCTTGCTTGGGAGAAGCTCTTGCCTGGCCAGCTGTCCACGGAGCTGTGTGTCACCAGATTCCCTCCTCTGTCCTCTCCCCAGGGACTACTTCATCACCTGCCCCATGATCGACATGGCCAGACGCTGGGCAAAGGGCACCCGAGGAAATGTCTTTATGTACCATGCCCCAGAAAGCTACAGCCATGGCAGGTAAGGGAGCTGCATGACCATAGTGGGTGCAGGCAAAGACAGCAGCCTGGCAGGGTGCTTGTCACTGCTGTGAGCCAGAGAGAGTCTGAGAAAAGAGGGGAACTGAGGTACAAGTCTTGGATCAGTGACATAAGACGCTCCACTGACCTCTCCATACCTCAGTTTCATCATCTGAAAAATGGGAAGAGCAGGAACAATCACTTGATTTATCTTGTTTCTACCAACTGGGAAAGTAAAGTAGGAGATGTGGGAAACTTTGTAAATGATGATGCATTTTGGAACTGTGGTATCAGGTATTTGTTACTGATTGATTAACTTGCCTTGGCCATTAATCCTGCATATTCTACTTCTAGAAACAAAGCACTTGCCTTAAGAAAATGATTTCCCAGTGTATGAAGGAGGTTTTTTCCAACCCAAAGGAACGGGGGGAGTCAGTCTCCCAGGTCTCCTTCCCTCTCTCCTGGAGGCCCATGCAGGCCCTCTGCTCTGTCTCCGGGCACAGGGTCAATGCACAGTGCAGATCTCAGGTGACCTTGCTGACCCTCATGAAGCCATTAGTCATCCCCCAGAGGTGCTGCCTCCCAGTAATAGCACAATGGGGATTTGTCTCCAACATGAGTCTTGAGGGGCAGGAACATTCAGACCACTGAGAAGAGCTGAGGTTCCAAGAAGTTCCACGTGACTGGGAGGACAAGCAGCCAGCTAGTGACAGAGCAGCAGCCTGCCATGGCATCTCTCTTTCCCCTATGACACCTGCTCCCTGCATAGGGCCATCCGATTTCACCTCCCAGAGGCCACCAGGTGGTTCAGGCTGTGGGAGGCTCCAGCAGCATGGGCCTGGTTCCACTGAGAGCTTGTGGAATAAGAGAATTGAGGTGGCTGTAGGGTTTGGGTGGATGGGAAAGGAGTGTTGTCACTGATGGGCTGCAGCCACCACAGCTGGGGAGCCAGTGGGGAGCTTGATCCTGGAATCAGCCTTAGCCATGCCTCCCAGCGCCTGGCACATAGGTTCCCTCCCTCCTCCCTGGTCCGTTGTTGTCTCTGCATTCCTCCCTGTGCAGGAAAGGTACAAGGCTGCTGTGGCATAGTCAGTTCCTCGGGAGCCTTAGGAAGCCCACACCCAGCTGTGATCCCAGCACTCTGGGACGTGAGGCAGGAGGATCACAAATTTAACCCCAGACTGGGCAATTTAGCAAAGCCCTATCTCAAAGTAGAAAGTAAAAAAGGGTCTGGGAGTGTAGTTCAGTGTGAAAACACTGAGTTCGAGCCTTCAAAAAAAATGCCCACAGCTTTGGTCCCCAGAGTTTACAGTGACAAAAGACTAAGAAATACATCCATGCATAAGGGTAAAACACAAGAAAGTGAAAGCATTCATAGGACCCCACCAGAATGGCAGTGCCCGGGCCCCACCCAGGTTAGTGGCTGAGAGCCACAGAAGTGGATTGTCTCCTGCTACGGACTCTGGAAGACTGAAATCAAAGAGTGGCCCAGGTCAACTCTCCTGAAGGAAGGGTGGTCCCAGGCCTGTCCCCTGTGCTGATGGCCTTGGACACCCTCAGCTTGTAGATGGTGGCTTCCTCCAGTGCCTCTCCACATCACCTTCCTTTGTACTTGCCTGTCTGTGGTTCCAAATCTCCCCTTTCTGTAGGGGCATCTGTCACCCTGGACCAGGTCTGCCCTAATGATCTTAGTTTGACCTAAGTACTTGTGTATAGAGAGAGCCTTGCTTTGAACGAGGTGGCATTCTGAGGAACTGGGGTTAGGACTCCAGCATGTGGAGTGGAGGGGATGCAGCTCAACTCTCCAAAGAGCCCTACTAGGACCTGTTGAGTGCTAGCCCCTTGCAGCTGGTGGCCTGGAGCTGGAGCCTCTGCAGAGCCATCCTGGGCAGACTCAGTGGTGTCCTCGGTCTCCCACAGCCAGACTGGCTTCTTCTGTTGCCCAGTGACCTCCCCGTGTCCCTCCAGGGACCTTCAGGTGGGGCTCACTGTGCTGGCTCAGGGAAGCTCCCACAAAACAGATGCTTTCCAGGTGCCCTTGAGTCTTTGTGGCTCTCTCTCTTCACAGGTTGGGCACAGGCTGAGATTGGGCAGGTGCTCAGGCATCTGGCTAAAGGACAGAGGTGACTCAGCCACCTCATTCAATGGTGCCGAACAAGTCTTTCCCGCTGTAGCATTTGTGTTCCTTGGGGCTCAGTTTTACCATCTGTAAAGTGGGAGTAGGGAGGTAGGCACAGCTGGCAATGGATTCTTCTGTGGAGCCTGGTCCTGGGCTCCTGTGAGTTGGAGCACAAGGTGAGTCTGTGCCTCCAGGGCCCTCTCCCTCTCACACCTGGAGCTCTAGAAATGCATCCCGCCTGCTCAGTTCAGAATGGTTCGGACCCTCGGTGTGAGCATCTGGAGGGCTTGTCTGGCTCAGGTCCTATCATTTCTGGAGGAGACACACTCAGAGCCACTGATTCATCCGAGATGTGGCCGTTTTCATAGAGGCAAGTCACTGTCTTGGTGAAAGGCAAGGGCACTGTCATCTTCTCCTTTCAGTAAGAAACTTGCCCTTGACTCTTACCCACTCAGTGACCTACGGCAAATCACACAACCTCTTCAAGGACTCACGTCTTCCCTGGACAATGGGCTATTAGGATTACTCCTTCATGCAGAGACCAGCCCTGCTGAGCCCTAAGTGCTGGGAGCGTCCCAGTGTTCTCAGCCATCAGAGCGTGTCCTTGACAACAACCCAAGCAGACAGCTTCCCTCTGCTGAGGTGACCACGGGGCCACCCACTGAGTGGACACTGGAACTGGCAAACAGATCGCAGGAAGGGAGGCTTTCGTTGGCAAGTTTATCTTTTCTTCCCCAGGAGATAAGGTGAATTTCTCTGTTTGTCTGTCTCTGTGTCTTTTTCTCTCTCCATTTCTCTCTCTTTCTCTGCCCTGGAGCTGTCACACCTCTCATTTTATTTCTGGCTCAATCTACACACTTAAAATATATGTGTGTGTGCTGCGCTCCCAGCCATCTGTCTTGTACCCCCACTTCTGTTAGCATATATTACATTTCCTGGCAAAAGCTAGTGAACAATACACAATAATTACTGCTTCCTTAAAGACTGTTGCTGTTTGGTCACAGGATATCAGTGAGGTTCTCTGATGCCCCACTGGACTATAGATAAGATTTCTGTCCCTGAAACTGGGGGGACAGGGGGGGGATATTTATGAGGAAAGGATAGATACACTGGATGGGGGCAGGGAGACAAAGAAGCCAAAATCTACAGAGTAAGGCGTGCTTAAGTGTCTCATTCAAAGAATCGCAGAATGTGGAAGATGATTTTTGCCTCACTTCATTTTGCAAAGAACAGAAGCCTGGGGAGGTGACAGGACTTTATCCCTGTTCCGGAGCCAGTGAGAGACCATCTGGACTCGAGATGCTGCCTCTTGCACTCTCTGCAGTTTTCTCTCAGTTGCAGCCACACCAGCCAAAACCCTACTGAGTACTTGCCCGGGCCAAGCCCACTAACTGGCTCTGTGGCCTCAGGCAAGTTGCTTAACCTCCCAGAGCCTCCAAAGCTGTATCTGGATGGAATAATAATACCTGTTCCGTACAGCTCCTGTGAAGGCCCAGAGAACCCGCAGGGTGTTTAGCCCAAGGCTTGTATCTGGATGCGTGCGTGCGTGTGTGTGTGTGTGTGTGTGTGTGAGTGCACACATGCATGCATACCTGGCAGGCTTTGAGTACCGACTCTACCGATATGAGAGTTAAATCAACTGAGGCATTCATCCTCTCAGAACAGCTTCCTTCAGCTCTCTGTCCTCACCTGTGAAGCTGGTAGGGTTACCTCCACCTCACAATGTGCACAATGTGTGTTTAACACAGTTGAGATCGTAGATGCTCAATATTTAGTAGGAAGGATTCTTTTCCTTTTAGAAAAAATAAGTCTCTGATAGGGAAAATAAATAAAAATGACCAAAGGGGCGATAATGTTCCTCCTTTATAAGTTTCCCAACTTTGGAAAACAAAGCCATAAATTCTAGACTTGAGATGCTCTGGTCACCTCTGTGTTTGCATTCTAGACACTCCTGTACATTCCAAGGCCCTTAACTAGTCCAGATGCAAAATATTATCTTTTCAGGCCACTGCTGTGGTGCTTTGGAAGCAACAAACCAAAGAACATATTAAGCAGCTGGATTCCATTAGCCTTAGCTACATCCTGTGTGATTAACAAGATTATTTCCCAATATAGACGGGCACTGGGCATTTTCTGAAACTGTCCACTCTAGCCCCAAGGCACAGTAGGGCTTACTCTTATCTTCCTCTGCAGCACTGACTCAACCAACATGTACTTACTGCTTTCGCAGTGCTGGGGGTGGATTAGCCCACAGGCAAAGAGGGCTGCTGCCTCACAGCACAGGGCATCTGGTGGAACCATAGGGAAAGGGTGCAAAGAGTAGGTCAACGCTGACGGAGAACTTTCCAGAAAGATGGCATTTGAGCTGAGCACTGTGAAACGAAGTGTGATTCCGCTGCAGACTTGAGCAGTGAGCAATCCCAAAAGGATTGTCAAATGCCAAAGCACTGAGGTATGAAAGGCCTGGATGAAGAAGGCCAGGGAGCTGGGGCCTGGTGAAGCAGGGGAGACTATGGGAAAAGAAAGGTCTTGTGGGTCACTAGTAGGGTATAGTTCTAGCAGGCAAAGAGTTGGTATTTTATGTGAGAGTCATCGAAGATGTTTAAATAGACATGTTATCCAGAGTGCACAATGTTCTTTTTAGTCATACCCCAAACACAGTTCACTGAAACACTAGGTGTCTTGTTATTGGTTGTTGTTGTTGTTGTTGTTGTTGACAGAATGTAGAACAAAAGTCCTATTATCCAGTGTGACTTTCAGTTAGAAAAGGCCATTAAAATGGGAGATTGTGAAAACATGCCCAAGATAGCTATATAACTTAAACATATCATTTTAACTTTAATGCGCATTCCATTCCCATTTTTTTGCGTGCTGGGTCAGAG